CAAATGTCCAGTTTTAGGGTTTTACACAGAATTAAACCAAACAACATGAATCAAACATGCACTTTATTTATTTCCACTAAATAACAAAAGTACATCAAAATGATTGAAGCTAAGGGCATACAAAACTGTCTAACAGTTGGATACTTGGATGGTTATGGTTATTCACAGAACTTCAGTCCAGAAATCATTCTTCAGTCATTAGCTTGGACATTAACCCTTGGCATTGCATCAATCTTTAAGCTTCTTTATATGCTCAATCTGTTCCATGTTGCAGAATTTTGACAAAGATCCTTAGTAAGTAATGAGCCTTAGAATTAAGACCAGTATTAGCAAGAAAATGCCTATGGAAAATGGCTAACACATGATCTGCGGACCATTTAACACTCGAGAGAATCCAACTTAAATACAGTTTTGACATAATGACTTCAACTTTGATATGCCAACGTAGCTAAGGCAGTTAGCATTCCATGCCCATATGGCTTAATGACATACATTTTGTGCTGACATAAAGAACAAGATAAGAGGTTACCAAATCACTACCAATATCGTTTCTGCATTAGACAACTAAATCTGCATCAAATTTTCTGAGCAATTATGGCCACATTTCGTGGTGATAATATGGGATTGAAAATGGGCAAAGCAACTGCCTTGACCGAACTGCCTTGTTCTTGAAGGAACAATAATCTATCAAGCAAAAGCAAAGTTTCCAACACAGGCCCCAATACGGCTCTAAGCGACCAGTAAGGCCCTATAAGTTCCTGCATGATAAAAAGATAATGATAAGGGTTGCATAATTACTTATACATGACTTATAGTAAAATAGAAGCTCAACTTATTGGATTATGGCATCAAATTTCTATCACCCAGATCTAATAAAGTAAGAATGTAAAAAGAATAACAAATAACTACTAGTTGTGAATGATAGAAATTTCCATGAATAAAATGTACTTGATTTTAGTTGGCAAATCCGGATTGCAATCAGTCCAATTCTTGATGCAATTTAATGAAGAAAAATTACTAGAGAAGAGAAGAAGAAGAAAGAAAGAAAGAAAGAAGAGAGAAGAGAAGGATGAGAGAAAGAGTGATGGCCTTAGTTGCTGCCCCACTCAGCTATTTATAATAGCATCAAAATATACGATAGCCAATTACATTAATGCCCCTACTGCTTACATAAGAAAATAACTAATAAAACTAACATTGTTAACAGAAGTCTAACCACAAATATAAATAGGGAACAAACTAACAGCAGCAGTGGGGACCACAATAAATGAAATAACAGCAATATAACAGCACTAATTAGTGCTCAACTTCTCTACACTCCCCCTCAAGTTGGGAATAGATATTTATCATTCCCAACTTGCGTAAATCTGTTTCCAACTTGGCCCTTGTAACTGCCTTGGTGAAGAGATTAGCAAGCTGCATATCAAAGGCAATATATGAATGACACTTCCAAAGAGGCAACTCTCTCTCTGATAAAGTGTCGATCCACCTCAATATGTTTAGTTCTGTCATGTTGTACCGGATTGTTGGCAATGTTAATAGCAGCCTGATTCTCACAATATAGCATTAGAGGCTTCTCATAAGCAATTCCCAATTCCTCAAACAAGGACCTCATCCATAATACTTCAGCCACACCATGTGCCATAGATTTGTATTCTGCTTCAGCACTGGAACGTGCTACAACATTTTGTTTCTTACTCTTCCAAGAGACAAGGTTGCCTCCTACAACGACACAATACCCAGAAGTAGACCTCCTGTCATCAACACACCTAGCCCAATCAGCATCTGTGTAGACTTCTATCTTCATGTGTCCATTATTTTTGAAGAGTATGCCTCTACCTAGACATCTCTTTAGGTAACCAAGGATCCTCTCAACTATAAGAAGGTGAGTGGTTTTGGGGGAATGCATGTACTCGCTAACTACACTGACTGCATAAGAAATGTCTGTTCGGGTGGGGCAAAGATAAAACAGTTTCCCAACCAACCTCTGAAACATAACCTTGTCCTCAAGGGGCTCTCCACCTTCGGTTCCAATCTTGTGGTCTTATTCAATGGGTGTGTCAGCTGGTTTAACACCTAGGTTTCTAGTTTCCTACAGAAGATCAAGAACATACTTCCATTAGGAGACAAAAATCCCATGTTTGGACCGGGCTACTTCAATACCCAAGAAATAACGTAGTTCTCCCAAGTCTTTGACTTCAAATTCTTGGTGAAGTAGTTGTTTAAGAGAGTCAATCTCATGAGTACCACTCCCTATCACCACAATAGGTTTACACCACAGGAAAGGACTATAGAGGAGGTCCAAGGAGTGTAAGGGTTTTGAAAAAAGAAGCTCAATGGACCTACAATAAGGATGAGGTATCTGCTATCCTATTCTCCAAGGTAAATCCCAAATTCCAATCAAATACTTTCAAGGAAGTAGAAGAGACAATGAATTTAGAAATAGGCTTCCCTTTGAAATTCAAGGAGTCTTTATGGAGACTGCCTATAAAGAAAGATAGTTGTGCATAAGGTGGTGGTTAGTATTCATGGGCTCTTGGATAATTGTTGGGATGCGGTAATCAACAAGGCTACTATAGCCTTCCTTAGTAGCAAGATCAAATTCTGGCGAGATCTTTGAGTTGGAAAAATGCATTTAAAAGATCCCAACAAAGACAACTTGAATTGTTGAATACCCTTCAAAAGACCTTTGTATATAGGTAATGCAGCAGGAGGGAGGCATTGGGCAATCTAGAGCACAAAAGGGTCGATTTGAGAATAGAGCGGGAGCCCTGTCAACGCAACCACATCCTCGATGGTGACCGAAAACTCTCCTCTAGAGCCCATGAAGGTATGGGTTCAAGTGCACAACCTCATGATCGAAGGACCCATGAACCCTAGGTCCTTGTTCTTCCCAAGAGATGTTAAGCAATCAATAGGCCAAAGTAAAACTGCTTTTGACAAAAGCTTGGAGAAAATAGGTTTTGAGAACATGAACCCAACCCATTTATCATACACTTCGCCATCAACCTCGCAACGTTGCCACAAGATTTCCTTCTAGGGGACGTTCCTGTACACGCAGAGGAGTTCATTCCCTTTGATGATGTAGTAAGTCCCCCCCTTCACCTAGGAGATGAAGGACAGAATGCCTCATCATCAGATGATTCCCACAACAGCCCAACCATCTCCTGTATACAATTCATGTCCACAAACTGGACAAAGTCACAAAAAGGGGACAGAGCCAACCTAGGCATGGTTATAGAATAGGTCGGAATCACTGGATAGAACAAAGAAAGAAAGCACGGAGAACAAACAAGGAAGAAAAACAAGGTTGGGTGAGAAATGAAAGGGATACAAGATGACAGAAGAAGATGATAGATCGAGCACCAAGAATTGGGGGGCGGGGGGGTTATCATATCCTCCCCCTTTTCAAACTACCGCATGCGCAAAGAGGACACGTATCGTGTGCATAATAACACCTGAATCGCACGATTTGTTTAAAAGGGTTGCCGGTTTTCTAAATTTACAACAAAAACCCCTATCACATTAAAAGACAAATTTGGGCACCCAACTATAGACACCCTATTCTTTGCACTCTTGTTTACTGATAGAATCTCGTTTTACCAATAAGAAAGGGGGGCTAAGATATATAAGGAAAAGCCCAAAATGTGAAATCCAAGCCCAAAATGCCAGATCCCAAAACCGAATCATAGTGCTTACTTATAGAAAATTCTACATGTAAGAAAGGGACTAATGTAGGAGTTTGGGAATGGAAAACCCACTACACAGCATAAAGGGGGATGTGAACCATTGTAGTAGCCCTAAAAAAAATATGCCAAGTGATGTGCACAAAAGATGAGCAAACCCAAAAGCAATTCAGGACAAAGAGTGGGGATAGTAACTAACACTTTCATAGGACACTGTTGGTGTGAAAATTTTAATAAATTCTCATGCAACACAATTCACTCAATCAAGTGATTGAGTTTTTATTATTTTGGGTAAGGCCCATTCAGGGAATCATACGAATTGTTCCCCTTAAGTACATCTCAACAAGAAAGTAGAGAACACCTTTTGATTCTAACTTGGAGAAATGAATGCATAGATCAAAAGAAAAGAACAATAGGGTACTTAAAAAGAACTTTTCATTTGCGTTTCTTTTACATCAAGAATGAAAAGAAAGAAAAAGAAAATACAATTGAGAAACTATACAACAATACATTTCTCCTTTCTTTTTGATACAATGAAAATTTCCTTCTCACTCCTTTCTTCACAATAAGCTGTAGTCAATCAGATGAAATTCTAACAGCCTTAATCCTTGGATTTTTGCATACAAAAAGGTAACTGTAGTCAATCAAACTGAATATTTGATTGTAGACGATTTTCATCCCTCCTCTCTTCATTTTCATTTGAAGGGAACCATAATCATCCTTCGAGAATTAGACTATAGATGGTTTAATCCCCAACTTTGTCTTGAAAGAGGAACCATAATCAACCAAGTAGAGGCATGTGGTTGTAGATGGTTTATTTCCCTCTACTCTTCACTTTCATTTGAAGGGAACCATAATCAGCCTTCAAGAATTAGACTGTAGATGGATTAATCCCTAACTTTGTCTTGGAAAAGGGACCTTAATCAACCAAGTACAGACACCTAGTTGTAGATGGTTTGTTTCCCTCTATTCCCTTTCTCAAAAGTGAAAATAAAAGAGAGAGAAATAAGGATACATAGTAGAAGACATATATAGGAAGTATTCACAGAGAGGACTTTCCTTTTTCTACCTGTATTAGTGAGACTTTTCCTTCCCTACCTTCCCTTGAGCACTTCTCTTTTCTTCTCTCTTTATCTTTGCTTTTCTTAAGAATCTCTTGTGACAATTTTCTCCTTAGAAGTCTCCATCTAGCTTCCCCTTAAGGAGCTTAAATAAGGAGTGGGGTAGTTATGTAACTACCTCCTCCTCCTAGATGAGGAGCACCTGTCCTTCCTACTTAAAGAGAGGGAACTCCCATACGAGATACTTTTTTATAGTTTTAATGATTTGGCTAGCAGACTAGCCAACCACTTATTAAATATTATTTTAATTAAAAAAAAATCCCTTCAACAGACACGTGTTGGGAAAAGTTCCCTTGAGAACACGTGGTGAATCCCCCACTCTGGTATAGTTGGGGGTAGATCTCCCTAGAACGAATAAAGGGTAGCAAATCAATGTGATTCCTGAGTTCCAAGGAATAATTGTCAAATGCAATGGCCGAATGGGGACCTTCTAAGGATAGAGGATTCCTTAGCCATCTAAACGCAACGGCAACTATAAATACCCAATCATATAAAGGGGAAAGGATACACCACCACTATCATAGAGAGAACGGTAGTGCCATCCTTCTGTCCTCCAAACCTATTACCTTAGTGTTGTAACCTACCTACCCACAAGCAGTTTAACCAAACAATGGAATTATTTTTTAACATTCTTTCCCAACCATTGTCTATTTCAGAATCTAAACCGGAAGGAAGGTGAATGGAAATGGTTGTCAAGTAGAAGGAATCTATTTGTGGATAACCTACCAAGGAAGTTGCTAGTATTGGAGTCCACTAGCCCTAGTTATGTATGTTTTTTAGCAGAGATGAAGTTCCACAAAACTTAAAAACTTTCTACAATATAATCGAATCTCCATTTGAAAGGAAAACTAAGTTTCTAAATAGACAATGATATAGAATAATTTAAAAGACATCCCATTTTGTATTGAACTGAGAAAAGTGTTACCAATCAAAATTCCTATGCCTATACAT